TACCAATAAAATGAAACTGTTGCAGCATCATGAAATTATAAAACAACTTTGCTGGTTGGGATAGACTAATCGTTGATGATTATGTGGCAAATCGAATAAACGGATGAAAAGGAGAAAATGAAAAGAAGCTCAGAGAAATTCATTTGAAAGGAATAATCATGAAAAAGCGATTGTGTGAGTAGCTTCATTGAAAATAACCGAAAATAGAAAATAACGGATGAGTCACATTTTGCATTATATGTATAACAATGTGAGCGGAACGTTGACAATAAAGTAGTTTGAAATATGTATCAACAATATCATCTGGAGGATATTCATATTTTATATTGCAAATGAATTGTTTTTATTATTTATCTGGAAGACTATTGCGTTGTCATGTCGATAAATATTTTTTGTCGTATTATCTATTCCGCAATACACAAAGGGTCATGAACTTGTTTTCTCTGAGGCAATTGTATGTTAGCCAACAAAAACATTTTTTTTATTTATCCAAATACATTAAATAACATTGTTTACGGAATTTTACGTTTCCATTATATTATTATTGAAAAATAAGAAAATATAATAAAATCCGTATATCATGTGAAATGTGTTGATAAAAATAATCCTATTATCAAACTGAAAGGAATTGATTGAAAAACGGGTTTTTTGTCCAGAAGAAAATGGGAACACGGAATGTGTTATTGGAAGTGAGACAAAATATAGAATGAAAGTCGGAAAAAATGATAACACAACTGTGAAAAATGAAGGTACATAATAATAATACTATAGTAGAATACATGATATAAAACATAATAGGGCCATCATTAGGAATCGCGTCAACAGTTTGGAGAAATGTAAGAACACGACCAACTTAGGATTCACGGAGATAGTATTTTGACTCCGTAGCTTTCACGCAAGGCAAAGGTATAAATCACGACAGAATATTTTAATGGTAGAAGAGGTGGTTGAATATGGTGAATATCGAATATAGCATCATTGCATATAGTGAAACATCTAGTTATTAGGCTCAGTTTTGTTAGATATGCCCAAACTGTTTCTTGAATTTTGTTTGTTTTTACGTTTTTTAACAAGCTGTAGAAAATACTGCTTATTTTTCTTTTCACAATGAATTGGAAATATACGAAGAACTTTTCCATACTCACACTCATACTTTACATTTTAAAGGTCAG